ATTGCAGCGATATGCTCCTCCCATGAGGTACTCTATCACCAAACCAATATCAATCAGACTTATTCGATAATCAGGAGGTAAGTTTCCCTGCAATGAAAATAAGAAGGATGGTGGGGGAGGAAGAAATGCTTATTACTGGCGTTGTTAAATATACTTTATAATGATGTTAGAATAAAACAAATTAAATAGTTAAAAACAGGAATGTATTATTATGCTGGTTAATTAATTCACCTTAAAATAGATCCAACCGAAACCTGGATATTCTCGCTTGGAAAGAAGACACAAGTTAAATAAGAAGGTGAAGAACTTGGAAGTAACAGAAGATAACATCAGTACACAGTACTCATATTCTTCAGCTGGGGAAACAAGGAACACGACTATAGGACAAAAAGCACGAGGATCAGCACACTTGAAAGGTCAGACACAGTTGCTGGACTCTAGTCCTGCAAGATAGCACCTTTTCTGCACCATCTGTCCCCCACACCTCTTGTCCTGGCATCTCATGTCTCTGCTGGCATCTCTTTCAACTGCCTTGTCTGCACTGCCAAGGCACAGTGAAGTGACATCATGCAATATCATTTGTTCACATGGAACCAGCTCCTGCATGTGGTCTTCCCATCCTGCAGTGTTTCCTTCCCATGTTCCAGGAAAGGAAGGGCAGGGGAAAAGAGCTGTGTTACCTACTCTAGAGGACCTATGCAGTGCATGAGTTACTATTACTGCTAGTTGCCTGAGGTAAGGAGAGTCTGTTAGCATTTGTTCTTGGGGATGTGTTCAAATAAACACATATCTTTGCTTAAATTCCACACCTAGTATAAGGAAAGCATCTGTATATGTGAAAGTAAGTATGAAAGTTATAATAAACAAAATAGCTGTGGCTAATTCTTTGGTGTTTTGTTCAAGAAGAAAACTACAGCCCCGGAAAATTCCCTAGATGGTCCGTCCTTGAACTTCCAAAATATTTTACTGAAAGCCCTGCTAAGCTTAGTAATCTTGCCACCTAATTTCCAGTGGTGCCAGTGAGATTGTATCCCAAGAGGTGGACTGTGCTTATGGCAAGGGTCATTAGCAGGATCCTGGAAAAGACAGCTACATACTTGCTCTCCCATTTCTTTTCCTTTCTTATCCTCGGTTAAATATAATATATACATAAAATGTCTTCAGCATGCACCTTTTATTTTGAAGGGAAAAAAATGATAAATACGTCCATGTCTTATTGCCCTCACTTTGTGAACTCCCTTGCACATATCTTCCTTCTCTTCACTGTCAAGCCTTAAAATGGCAACACTAAACTCATGAGTTCTCCAATACTTATGGCTTGCAAAGCTATGAGGGAAGATCTTGGTAACAGATTGTCTCTTACTGCATATGAATCTGAGGCTGCCTTTTAGTTAACTGGGCATTTCTGTTCTTCAGTAGCAGTAAGCCTGATGCAACACCTAGCAGGCCAGAACAATTTCAGGGTGGGCTGATCTCATAGATGCGCCGGTGAAGTACTCTTGGGGGTCTCTGGCGATGGAAGAACAAAACCTCAGCGTGGGCACATCTGCTCTTCTCTTCTCCCTGGGAACTCCACAAGGAAAGCTCTGATCCCTTTACAGGACAGGGCTAAGGGGAAAGGAATGCCCCCAAATGAAAGTTTGCCTCCTCCTCTAAACCACTGCCTCCGAATTGTTCAGACAACAGTTTATGGTTCAGCAAGCAGTTCCCTACCAGAAAAGAAGGCATGATACAGTAAGTTGTGAATAGGTCACCCAGGTCTAGAGATCTCATTAAGAACCCTGCAGATTTATAGAACACTCTCTGTCCTATATGATCATTATGCAAGAGATGTGACGACAAATTAAAGGTAGAAAGAGAAGTAAATTACCCTTCTGTGAACTGCAAGTGGTAGCCTTGCGAAAAGAGAAAATTACTCTAGTAAAAAATTTACTTGTAGAGTCAACATTGCAGAGGACCAGGAAATTATAATTGTTAGCTTCAAACTTTTTCAGTGCACTGTAATAAAATAATCACATTTTCTATAATGATATACAGCACAGATTACAGTTAGCCTGTAGCTCTTTTCATGTGCTCATCAAAAGAAGGTTAGTAATTCGCATGGAGTAATTTTATGACTGCTATGTCTTGCTGAAAATATCTGCATGTCTGCAGATATCTGCCTGGCTTCTCTGCAGATGTGCTTATTAGATTCAGAGCAGAGAAACACTAATGGAGAGCAGATGGCAACTGGTTCTGCAGAAGAGATTAAATGGATGCAAAGATCCTCCTTCCTCTTCTACTTCAGCCAGGAAGAGCAATGCTTATTTCCCTTCCTGCTCACCATGGTACACAGGAAAAGAAGAAAGAGAGAGGGAGCTAGTGCTGTGGTGCATCATGCCAAGCAATGGGCTGGGATTCAAAGGTTCAGAAGATTAAGCAAATTTATTGGCAAAAGGTGAGCTGCCAACTATCTTTCAGTAATGCCCCTTATCATATCTTTTGCACTCTTCCTACTTTTGGCTAATCTTAAGGGTGGGGGAATCATGATGGTTCACAAGAACACGTATTAGTTTAGTTTATTTGAACTCAGTCGTTTTATTCCAAACTGTTTAAAGAAAAATAATGTAAATCTATAATTTAAATCCTGCTAGGGTTTTTTTGCTTGTTTGTCTTTTCTCCAAAGTGTTCTTCTCTATCTAGAATGCTTAAGGCAATGACAGTTTTACTAAAACAAGGATGAAGGCACTGGCAGAAGCGGGAGTTGTAGCTCCAAGGCAGAGTTGTAGTTCTTCAACAGGCTCCTGCTGTCTTAATATAAGGCACTACAACTGAGTTTGATATTATTGTGGCAAAAAATATTTGAGCAATTAAGAAAGCACAACAGGCATCAGGGTGCTGCATGTGTTAGAAAGTGTGAGTTTCTTGATATAGTTCTTCTGATTTCTAAAATTTCACAAAGGAATTTAGATAAAAAATTTCCAATAGAGCAACTTTAATAAAAGATGCATCTAAACCTCCCAGATAATACTGAAACACTTTACTAAACAAAACTCACACTCACAAATTCACAGCAGAAGTACACATTTTATAGACATACACATATGTATGGCTCCACGCTAACACACAATTACTTTTCCAAAGTGAGCAGCCCTAGTAAAGCCAATTGGACTATCCTTGTGAGAGGCGTTATGCCTGTGCCAAAGTTTTTGCCATATCAGCAGAAACCTTGAACTACCCTGGCAGCAGTGAGTCTGCTGGTAAATGAAGCTCCATGGTGCAAGTGGGACAGGACCCCTTCAAGAACAGCAAAGATTTGGATGGGCTAATTCTAGTGCAACCAAGGTGGTCAGGAATGACAGAGGAGGTTTGATTTTCGTGTATGATAGGTTAATAATCAACTAACATTTTAATGTTGGGACAGGCTCTTCAGTGCTAATGCATCATTCTTTTAATAAAGAAACTTTGACTTATAACTGTAGCTAATCAATTATAGTATTTTTTCACTTTAAGTACATATTTATATTCAGCAGCTACCAAGCCTCTGATTTTGCATGCTGAGGAAAAAATACTTTCAGAATTCTGTATATTGCTTGTTAGCTCTCTGGAAATGCAGACATACAGTGGCAGTCCAGCATAAAGATCTCTGAAAAGTTATATCAGCCTCAGAGTGGGATTAAGATAAATTGATGATATATAATTTTTTAATTAAAGATAAAATTAAGTTGTTAATTTCTACTGATCTTCATTAGCTGGTTGAGCCAGGGAACGACTTTTTTAAAAACAGCCTGCAGAGGGCAACCTCCACTTACAGACATCATGCCAAGGACGGCCACTGTTTTGTCCTGCTTCGTCTCTATGCATCGTTTTGTACAGTCTAGGGAAGGAAGTCAAACCTGTATGTTAAATTCTGTACCCTTGACAGAAGATGTTAAAAGGGCCACGATGCAAACGGTGTGGGCAGATGTGTCCCTGCATGTAGTTATGGAATCAACACGATCGAAAGGAGGGATGAGCGCAGTTGTCTCCAAAGCAGAGTCATTAAGAAGTACTTTGTCCTATTAATATATGCAGAATTTAAACCCACTCTGACTACTGTAAATTCTTTCAGACCATGTCTCCAGGATTTTGCAATACGCTGCCCAGGCCAACAGTCTTCACAGTGGAATTTGGAAATCCAAAGAGAAAATATATTGTTGTCTTACATGTTTGTGTGTGCATGCATGTGCGTGTGTGTGCACACCCGTGTGCTTGTAAGCTACCCGCAAACAGGGTGCGGTAACGTGACTTCTGTGGTTCAAATTCTTTGCTGTATTAATCAGGCAGGGTGGTCTTTCAAACAAACAAAAAACCCTCCCTACTGATTTATACAGCTATGTAATGCAATAGTGGTAAATTAAATAATACTTATATGATTTGTAGGCATCCGTTTTCTATTTGAGAATTCACAATGATGCATTAAAATTGGGATGTATGCCTAAATAGCACAGAGTATGCATACACTGTAAGTGTTGTCTCAAGGTGACATACTACATTTTTTATGTTTATATTTTGTGATACTGTATTTACACCTGAGAGGTTGGGTATCCGGCATCAAAACACCTATAAACTCAAAAAACTAGCATCAGCAGTGTGGTCTGGTTTTCATGCATGGTGGGCCACTTAACTGTCATATAGTGATGTCCATTAAGAAGTTATTTCCAAAGACCTGTTTTCATTTAAACTGTTGTCAGATCTGCTGACTGATTTACAGCTCGGTTGACTGGTAAGGGATCTGCTCAGATGGCAGGGCTATGGCGAGCTGTCACTTTTCCCCAAGTGAACCGTGGTTGTCCCTCATCACTGACAAAATGAGAAATACAGCCCCAGAGGTGCAGTTTTCTGATGAAGGTGCTAGCAGGCTGCACCAGGCTGTTTGTTTCTATATTCTAGTAAGAGTACACATTGACTTCATGTAGTGGGAATTACTGGAGGCTTTAGATACGGACAGAGGAAAGAAAGATGAATTTATGGAAAAATCACCATCACCTAACATTTAGCAATCAATGTGGAACAAATAATGTCATTAAGTATGGTGTAAGTTTATTCAATGCTGATGTCTGTCAATATATACCTATAAGTAATGATAGTCTTTGCCTATTTTGATGCTTTTTTTTCAAGAGCGCTTTTAAAAATACCTCTTTTGTTAGGGACTTAGAAAAAGATATTGATATTATTTATTCACTCAACATACAAATTGCTACACCTTCAAAGGAGGACTGGAAAGTTGATGCGGGAAGAGAGAAGGAGTTTGAAAAGGAATATATCTTAAAGCAAGAAGACAGATTATGCTTGTTTCAAACTCTTATAGGCACACAAATAACTGCATATTTAGTAAAAATAAAAGTTCTGGTAACTTGGGCTTCAAGAGAATTAGCCAGTCTAAATGCATTCTAGCTTTACTCTGCTCCACCCAAGGGGATTTGTGCACAAGAACACTTTCAGTTTCTTCTGTAGGCATTTCACACTTCCCAATGGTCACTTAATATGCTATATATAATTGAACAACGATGATGCCATGTAACACACTAACCAAAGAAAGCCACCAGAACCTCCCTAAACTGATTATTCTGTAGCATTATTTAACAGAAAGATGATATATGAAGCATTGCCACTCGTCTCCCCTAGTTGCCTTTGGTTCTGCTCAGCTGTCAGTGACAGAAGAAACCACCAAAACCTGTGCTCTTACAAAAGACCTCCATTCCTTTTTCAATCTCCTATCTAGTCCCATGTACAGAAATCTCCTTTCCCAAGTATGCTACTCTGATTTATGTAATGTGCAAGGTTGTAATCTGCCCATGCTTTGGGAGAGTATTCAAGCTGATGAGGTCAGTTGCAAACTCAATCTCCTTACTTGATCCATATATTTAGAGGATATGGGATTTTCATTCATTGCTGCTGCTGTAACACTTTTAATCCTGAACACATTGCTAAAAGTATTTGGTGTCTCCTTCCCATCACTATACCTTTCTGTGTTTCTGTCTTGCCCTCCTAACAGCTCTTTGTAATTCAAGATGCTTGAAATTAATTTGATAAGGGGGCAGGGGAAAGTTGGACTACTTCTTTTTGGATTTTTCTGCTGAGGAAGATGGCTACAATATACCACACAACACAGAATAAGGAACTGTTTCAACAAACTAGGATCCAGCACAAGGATAAGGGCTATTTTACAGGCTTGGAAGTAAACTAACAACATGGAAATTAGCTTTGACAATAGTTGCAGGTATGGAAAAATACAGATAACAGCATAAATCCACATGGTATGTAAGAGCCTACAATTATGCTAGCAGAAGCACTATTACCCAAGCATCTAAAACCACAGAGAAAGCAAGCCAAATAACTTGCTAATTGTGCTTTATATGCAAAATGTTCTTATTTGGTACATACAAACAGGACATTCTGTAATGGCAGGGGAAGGAGAAGGCTCTGACTGAAAGCTCATGCAAAACAGAGATTGTATCTAGCTACAAAAAGCAATCGTAGCATTATCTCCAACCTACCGTCTATTGGACTCTTACCTTTTTGACATCCCTGACTAGGTGATACAGAGTGTTGGATGGTCCGTGTCTCTGCAAACGACAAATAAAGAAGAATAAAATAGTTTTGCATTGTCCAAAGACCTGCAAGATGTAAATGCTGAAATGGCTTTCTCACCTTGGTAGTTTAAAAATCAAGCAACTGAGAGCACTTCAGTTGTACAGTGCTATCAATTAAAAAAATAAAATCAATTACAAGAGCATTATTTCACCTGATTTCTCTTCTGTACAAAACCCTTCAGTAAGAAAACCTTAAGAACTGCCATGTTGGATGAAAAACTAGGGTCTATATACCAGATTAGGCTCCTGGTTTAGGCAAAGCAGGAACCCAGCACAACAAGTATGGCCTCTGGGAGAGAGTGGAAGGAAATTAGCTGCTTAAGTGTCAGCCTTCTTGCACTCAGGGTCTCTACTTCCATCGCTGGTGTCTCAGAGAACCCCTAAGCCCAACATTGCATCTAGGCTGTCTTGTCTGAAAGCCACTAACAGCATGCACAGTCTGTGAATTTGTCCAATCTTCTTTTGACTCCCTTCATATGCTATTTCAGATTTGCCTACCCTGAGTGATGTTAAATCACCTGCAAATGTCCCTTTGGTAGTTACTATTTTTCGGAGCAGCTCTAAAGAGGCTGAACAGCAGTGGTATCAGGACAGGGTCTTGGATGACCCCAGTCATAACATCCTTTTGTTGTGAGAACAGGCCATGTATTTCTACTCTCTGTTTTCCATCCTTCAAGTATTTTTTAAACCACAAGTGCCCCTTATCTCCTGTGCCATGACAGCTAAATTTCTTTAATAAACTTTGAGGTTTTCAAGTATTGTCAAACAGGTTTTGCAAAAACAGGTGGATGAAATGCAGCATCCTTATTCTCCCACATGTTGACTTCAGAAATGGTAATAGATTTCTAAGGCTTAGCATTTTCCTAAAGAAGCCAAGTAAAATCTTTCTTGACATAAAATTGATCCCTTTGTCTATTAATTCTATTCTTTATTGTATCTTTACAACTGTGCAATAGCAGAAGTCAGATTCACTGGTTTGTAGCTTCCCAGGTCACTCTCAGGGCTCATGTTGACATTTGGTATTTTTTAGCTGGCCTTGTGATTTTGTTGGTGCTAAGGCTATTATGGATGCATTAGGTCATACATCGTAATTGATAGTTTAGGCATTTCATAGCCTGGGTCTTTTGGAATTCTTACATGAATAATTTATGGTGATTTCTATAGCTCACAATAAACTTGTTCAAAAAGGCTCCTTTTAGCTGCAGAGCGGAAGACTTCCCTCACACTTACTCCCTGTAAAAACTGGCTTTGGTACAAGAATTACAGTGCTTATCTCTGTAGCAAGAAAGCTCATAGGCTTTCTGTTCTTATTACATAGAGGCTAGTTGGTAGGCAAAGTTTAAGCCGATTAAAGATCAGATGGGAATCTGTCTCAGCTGTGTCACAGATACCTGTTCCTCTATATTTTGCACAAATTTAATGAATTATTTTCATATTTGATATTTTTTAGAGACTGACTTCCGGTCACCAGCATCTGAAACATCTCAGGTTAACAGCTCAGTATGGCAGTTTATGATGGCAGGGCTTTGAAAAGTACTGGCAGAAAAAAATTTTTTGAAAAGGGCTATGCACTGTATCACAACCTCTCTCTGATGGACAGAAGTAGCAATCCTAAGAACCAGGCAATGCTTTAAGATTTTTTGCATACCAGTGAAGCAATTTGAACTTTTTGGTTTCTCTTGGTAGGCAATAATGTGGATAATGGAATGTGTTTTGCAGTTGAGAACTCAGAAGCAATTTGAACCTGTGCAGTTTTATGTTCATTGTAAGGGCAAAGAAATAAAGCTTGAAAACAGGCTTTTAAAAGTCAAACCTATAATTCTTGGAACATTAAGTGAAGACATGGGGAAGTCCTTCATTGTAATAGGCCTCCTGAAATCATCAGATGTCACCGTGAAATTCAGAATATTATCCCAAGAAGTTTGCTTCTATTTGTTTTCTAGTGGCTGAGTTTGATTAACAGTTGCGAGATTTTTCTGAAACCATAAAGGCTTATACTGTCAGGAGTCATATATCACCATCCTACAGGTCCTAACTTGCCAGTTACTGTCTTCCAGCCAGTGCCATTTGCCTGAACTTCAGGTCTCTCATATTGGATTACAATGACCAGAAGTCAGCTGGTACTGTGTGTGGCTTAATCCATTTCTTACAAAATCTGTGCAGCAGATCAGGTGGAGAAGACATAGTGTGTTCCATTAAATGAGAGACAAAGCTAAGAGACAACGTGGACTTCTAACATGGAAAATTTCCACAGCAGGTGTTGGCTGCCTTATGCATCATCATGTTGTTGAAACACAAGTGGGAGCTAGAACAATGACTATAGAGATAGAAAATTTGCCTTAGGTTGGCCCTACCGTATTGTACAATTCCTCTAGCCGGGAGATGGTGAGAAAACGATGCATGCTTACTCCATTTTCTATGAGCAATTTCACAAAATCCACTCTGTCCAACACCAGTGCATCCAGCATTGCTTGCTCAAGGGAGCCCACCTGCAAAGCAAGCGATTAATTCAGGCTGTTCTTGGGCATCACAGACTGTATCTGGCTGGTCTGGTCACACTGGCACAAGCAGGGAATCCTGACAAAATTCTGGGGGTTGCTCTGCTAAGCTTAAAATGGGATAATCACAGTTAAAACTGTGACTAAATCCTATATTGGTTTCTCTGATTCAGGGCAGCATTCCAAAAATGAATGTCAGAGTGTTAAGATTAACATACTCTAGGAAATCCAGATTAGGACCAAGGAACTGGAACGCAGGAGACTCATGACCACACCTCAACACTATTTACCATCTCATTATTATCTTTATTTCTCACTTTCTTGACAAACATTTTACTTATATTGAGTGTATTTGTTATGTGCACACACACTCACTTCAATTCTGTCTTTACTAGCTTTTTCCTCTGTTTGTGGTGTGGAAACTCAGGGAAATTTTGACACCCAGGAAGGAGAAATAGCTTCACAATTAGCATTTCTTTGAAGGGCCAAATGCAAGAGGTCTTCTTAGGCAAAACCTCTTCTATCTTTTGCAGGTTGGGGGGAGTTAGAAGGATGAGAAATTATCCCATACTTCCAGCTTTTACCTTGCAAAATGATTGCAGCTTGCAGCATTTATGCAAATTTTTGCTATGATGTGGTGATGGAGCGATAATGATAAGGATAGTTTAGTACCATTAAAATCCCTCCTATGTTTTGATGCATACTTATGCCCAATATTGAAGACAAGGTAAACAGTCCTGTTCATGAATAAAAAGGCAAGGATTTTTGAAACTAGCTTTAAGGGGCAGCAAGCTCCAGAAACTACATTTAAATCAAGGACATTTAAACAGAATCTTTTCCTTTTTTTGTAATTTTTCCATGGGGAGTTGTAAATGCTCATGTAATGATAGCATATGAAATTTTCATGACAGTGACAAAACAAGTGTCACAGTAATGAATACTGTGACCCAATTAAACCTTCTGAATGAAGGTATGGTGGGCTTTAAGGAGCTGCAGGTAGAGAAGGTCCTTCTCTTTTTTTCTGGGTGATTTCTACCACTGTAAAAACTGCAGCACAAGTTGGGAGTTGACTACTCCTCTGCCCCACACAGCATTCAATAACCCCTTTATTTACAGTCCTCCCACTCCTGCAGAGAAGCTCTTGCCCACCATGTCCCCCAGGGGAATGATGTTGGCCAGGGAGCCTGTTCCCACATCTGGGACAGCTGGAGCATAGGATGGGGCAGACGTGAAGCAGGCAGATTGATGCAGAGCAGCGCTGGGCATGAAATCAACTCCAGCTCAGGTTTGGAGCCACAGCACTTCTGTGGTAGCATTGCTGATCAGCTCTCATAGCCCACTTGATGACCTCCAAAATTTTTGCAGCAGATTTTTGACGTCTGATCATCATCAAGTTCAGTATTTGTGTATAAAAGCATATTGCTTGAAGAGCAAAAAGAAGTTTTGCCTTTCCTTTAATTTACAGTCTAACACGGTAACATGGCTGTAAACAGATAATTGCTTTTCTCAGCTGGCAGAATCATTGGTCGATAGCATAAATGTGTTGCTTCCCGTTTCTTTAAAGGCGTGGTCTCCCGGTGTTAAGGCAATCGCTAGATGTCACCATTTCCTTGAACATGTGAACATATCAACATCTTTGTAACCGTGCCTGCTTTCACTAGCTGTGAATGGGAACTTTTGTGTTTGGCTGGGAGCATGACTCACTATATTTTAAACCGTGTTAAAACCACGGCTGCCAACAGAATGGATTTAGCGTTGTGTAAGGTTTAAAATGTTTTCAGTAGAAGATGCTGTATATATACTGTACCGGCCACTGTTGCCCATAAATAAAGATCTGACTGCGGGCGATGTCTACTCTGTTCCAGGCTAATGCTAGGCTCAGCTGGTCGGGAGCAGATGCGTTAGCTCCTGTGTATACAGACAGGGGTGCAGGGAGGAGAGGAGGAGAAAAAAGAAACAAGACATACTTTAGACTCAGTCAACAGACCACCATGGTAATTCCTCTTTGCCAAAAGTCTCACAGATGTCTATGTAATTTCTGCAACTGATCTCATATTAAAACAAAACCAAACCTTTCATTGTCCCTGTAATAAAATACTAGTTCTTAAATCTGAATCCATGGTTCTCAGACTGTCTCATCAACATTAATTAATTCCTCACAATCCTCTTGAAAAATACAGTAGGTCTGCGTGATACCGGCAGATGCAACTTGTGGTGGAGTGAACTGGTTTCCCTCCTCTCGGATGGGAAGCAAGAGCAGAGGGACACTGATCCAGCTGCAGGAATATACACACACCCCCCTATGCCCATGAGCGCACACATACGCACGCGCATGCATCTAGCAATTACAAACAGGTTTAACTCACACAGACCCCACTGATTTCAACAGGCATGCATTTTATGCACATCTTTTACATACTGCCACCTGATAAGGTGGGGATCCTGTACCAGCATAGGAATTTTTCCTCTATCTGTTTGTACTGCGGGGTCTTGGTGGGACAAATTTTTCAAACATGCAATATTTATGTAAGAAAGCATGCCATAAAGCTGCTGCCAAGGTATAATGTATCTCAATTGAATAAGAAATTATGCAGATGATATGGTGGGTTTGGAGCTGTTTGTTTCTTGGAAGGGAGGGTATGTTTTTCCCTGTAGTTTTAATGGGAGCTGTGGGACATTCCTGCCCTGCTGTGTTTTTTTAATATTTCACTAAGGATTTCATGGTTATTAGCAGATTTGTAATAATAAAACAGTATTTGTGCTTCAGTGTCACAGGGAGAACTGGCCCAAATGAACTGATCAACCAAATAAATAAAGGGCCCTTCAACTTTTAACTACATAGCTGCTTGCAGTGATTAGGTGCTTGAATAAAGGCTCATTTTTAGGGCTTCATACCTCCACTGTTTTCTTGTCTTTATTAATTCTTATACTGATATCATGGAGTGAGGACAAACAAGAGCTTTTCATTATTTCAAAGCATTTCTGTCCCCATTTCAGTACTATTAAAAATCACACACTGTTCCAGCTGAAAGTAGAGTCTGAAACTGGAAGGCAGAGAAAACATAAAGCATAACATGCTGGCCACTGAAATTCTCTGTGAAGGATCAGTTCAGCAGACCTTTGGGAAGCTCACCCTACAGTTTAATTTCATAACTCTCAACTTTGCAGTCAGTTGACTGCCATGAAACTTTGCCAAATACTTGGCAATATCTACAGCAATTATTTGGGATATGGTGGACTGTAGGTCATCCAAATCACTTTCATTTTATTACAGAAATGAGCTCTGATAAAAAGGTAGGTGATGTAGGAGAAGAATGATAGAAAGAAATGAAGAAAAGAAGAAGAAACAGTGAAAATAGTAAAAGACCTTTCTGCGACTAAGAAGTAACAGGAACACCGCTTTGCGTAAGATGCAGATTCTCATTGCTTATGCTATGACACAGACAAAAGCTCTCACAGGAGACCTCATGGGGGATGCCAACAGCATCTGAACATTTCTGAGTTTCTTACACAAGCAAGATTCAACATTCAAGAACAGAAAATATTTACCTTTGGGAAGGGAAAAAATGTCTCTACAGCTTTATTTATTAAAAAAAACCCCAAACAAAACCCCAGTGGGTATGGTAGTGTAAATTAAGTACAGAGGGCAAATAATGTTCTCCCCCTTTCTGAAGCAAACAACAGATCCTCTCAAAATGTCATTGGACCTCCTCCTTCCCATCTGAGTGCCTGCAGGAGAAGCGAGAGATTCGGCAGGTGCTCAGGCAAGCTGTCAGGTGATCAGTGGAGGAGGCACATGAGTGAACTCCAAAACCCACGGGCAGTGACAACGATCCCTCAGCCTGGCACCATTTGCATATGTGATGAGGGGCCTCTATCTCCTGATTTTCCTAAACTGACTGAAGCCTACAGTCTGGGTAGCCAGGGGTGCAGCCTGGTTAGAAACCATTTTAGATCAAGAGCGGATCAGATGGACTTGGGGAAGGAAGTGGGCTACATACACTGCCCCCACTTCAGCAAAAACTGCATCCAAGTCATAGAGGCTCCAGCTGAACACCTACTGACGCTTAGCAGGGAGCCTTCCCCAGCTTGTGTTGTGTGATTTAGTATTCCCAGGCCTTTTCATACTTTAGGAAGGACCTGGCTGCTGGATGAACACAGGGCCTTCTGGTGCATCTGATCACATGAAAGAGCAACTGGCATGGGGCATAAGGCAGTGGCTGCATCTCCAGAAAGGCCCCCAAGCCTAGCAGTTCATCAGAACTGGTTTCTTTGAGCACGCTTATAGCTCCAAATACTGAGCAGAGGGGAAAGCAAGCCATGGTCCAGCCTTTGTCCTTCCCACCTCCCTCCACGGTGTTCAAGGCTGCAAGCAGTGGACTAGTTTTCCCATGGGTGCATGTGCAGTCCCAGAGATGATGCTCTTCTCAATGCTTGTTACCATAATGGTTCATTGTGTTGTTCTGCAGAGCGCTGCAGATAGTTGGCAGTTGGAGGAAATGTATGGTTACTCAAGGGGTTTTTGTCCTTCAGGTCCAAACCAGTCCATCAGCTAGTGTGTAGACTGGGCAGTACAGGACTCTGATGCACATGAGTGAGGTTTGTGGCTGAAAAGCCCTTGCACCCTTCTCCTCTTTCCTGCCTTCCCTACGTGGTTTTCAGGCAAATGTGGATTACACTGGTGTTACACAAGAGGAGAAGTAAAATAAAAGCCTATAAAAGTTTCTATAGAGCAGCATATGGGCCGCAGATGCTGTTTAATAGATTTTATTCCAGGGTGGACTGATGACTTTTGATTCAAATGAAAAAGAAAGTATTCAGGCTATTTCAGGTGGAATTCTATCCAGTATTAACAAGTAAATATAATTCCACTAATATAAGAAAAAATCCCTAGAACAAATGTGAGGTGGGCTTTCTTAAGATACTGCCTCCTTTTTGAGTCAGTGAGAAGAATCCAAAAAGTGACCTCTCTGAGGACTCGTCTTGCTCATGAATGTCACTGCAATGTACCCAAATGAAAGCCAAAGGATATCTGGGAAATCAAAAAATAAGGCAGAGTTAATAAGCTACTGCTCTCATCAGCTCAATACAGGGATCACACTGGAACCACTTCTTAGGCCCTTAACACTGTCAGTGGTCAGAAATTAGCATTACCTCTCCCTCCATTTTTGTTTCATCCTGTCTCATGGAAAGAGTCTCTGCTTAGTTGCATTGTATTATTTTAATTGCCGTAGTATACTTATTGCTTTAAATAGTGTTTTAGACAATATAACTAATGTTTATGAAATACTTGGTCAGTATCCTGGTGTCTGGCTGAGCAAGAGATATGTTCCTCTAAAGAATGTCTTAAGATGATGTGACTGATGTCTGCAGTGGGACTCTTCCTTCCATTCATCTGCTCCTAGAAGAAAAGTTGCATTTGGGATGCAATGAGCTGATTTGGCAGTATTTATTTCAGTATAGATATTGTTTGATGTAGATAGACAACACAAGGATGGTGTGAAGTTGAGTGAACAAGAAGGAGACCTGGGACAGCTGTTAGTTCCTGCAGGTATTAACTTTAACCTCTTAGGTGGCCATCCAGGAGAGCTTGGATATCTCGCATAGATTCTGCTAGTAAAAAGTCAGATGGTGTATCTGGGTTTATCCCAGTATCTGGGACTGAAAGTGCAATACTCCTTGATGACAAAGCCTGGGACCATAAACTTGACTCTGTATCCTGGGTGAGCCAGTGTACACATGTCAGACAAAGAATGTTGTGCCCTTGCAAGATCCCAGATTACTGAAGAGATAGACTACAGGCTCTGATATACCAGCTAAAGTTTACTGTGATAAACTTAAATCTCTAAAGGGACAGTCTATGCTACTTAGAGCTCAGGAATCTGGAAAGCTGAAATGACACAAAACTGATCTATCTAGACAGAAATGGGTTCTGGAGACTTGTTTCCACAGTGCTTCTAAGCATGTCAGGATCCTCTTTGAGTCATTGTTTAAAGAAAAGAATTAAATTAGGGAAAATAGCAATTCAAATTAACTTTCTGCTCTGCTTCTCAGCAGGTCTTATGTTGTCTTCTGTTTCAGCAGCCCTTTGGTGAAAAGCCTGTGTTTCCACTGCATTTGCTACAAGCATCTTCCTGGCATTTAGCAAATCAATTGACAATAACAAAGCTGATAGCAACGACAAACTATAAGGGCATTTACCAGATATCTGGCCTAATGCTGACATCCTTCTGTGTCAGTGATTTTATGGTTGGCAGACCATCACACCGTCTTCCAGGGCCATCTGATACCACACAATGGCTGTTCAGAGAGCATGAATCATGCCTTATTCACAGGCTGGAAAGTATGCAGGGACATCAGACCTGCATTAGCCTAACACGGCTTACCTCGGAGAGTTACATGGCAGTAAGATTACAATACGCAAATACCACATTGCATGTCTTTCCCAATGCTAACAATTGCACTGGGAAGGCTTCTGGAGCACCAGCTAAAATGTGGCTTGTGCTACTAGTATGCAGCAGACATTGCAACAGCTTCGTGAGCTAGGATCTTTGATGCCACTTCAAAACAATTCTATTTTATTATTAACAGCTCCATATGCTTTCTTAAATTTCTCTGTCATTTGCCTTCTGGCCAGCTAACAGCTGCAAAAGGACACACACAATCCATTACTGTTTGAGTTCCAACTGTTAAGAGAGCACAAACAGTTAAACTGTATGATAAATTTACTTGCTACAAATTCATGCAACTGGAAACTTACTTCCCACATTTGCATGTCTCTCAAAATAACAAAAAAGAAAAAAAAAAAAGGAATTCACAAGCCATATGCTGTTGTGACATGCATGCAATGTAAATTGATAACCAGTTTCGATGCCATTCCCTAGTTTTATTGGAGATCACTTCCAAGAAAGATAGATCTGCTGACAAGATTAAACAAGTGACTCATGAAAACAAACAAGGAAATAATCTTTCATATGCAGTGCAGGGTTTGGGGCTTGTGGAATATCCCATCCAGGAGAGTTCCTGCATTGGCAGCATGCCCGATGCGGGTTTAAAAAGAGACTAGCTTATTGCAAATTTTACACAGCCAGCGGGAAACGATTCTTTGTGCTTCCCAATCTGTGTCCTCTTCCTCCTCCCTGAAAAAATCACTCACACCAGGGTGGCAATGGTGATTAGCTGGTATGTGCCTCAAATACTGGCTAGCAAGAACTGCAAAATCCTCATCACTGCAACTGAGAAGAAGTAAGCAATAGTCACTCACTGGTTTCATATTTTTCTCTGCCCCTTTTCACACAGTGCTGAAGAGGTGAAAGAGATTAATTCCTGAATCTAAACTTACGAATTTCAAGATCATTCAGACTCAGTCTTCAAATCTGCTTACTAGTAAATCACTAGACAAGTGGTTCAGCATGGCTACCTTAGATTCCTTAGTCTGATAGAGAACCCAACTATGCATCAGCCTGATGGGGTATATCTACAGAAAGGCAGTGTTTCTTTCAGGGTGGACCAGAACCTTTGTACAAAGGAACAGTATGAATAAGGACAACTGTTCTGCCTGAAACAAGAGATCTCATCTTTGCACACATTAATTAAAAATGATATGGATTTTCATTCTCTGTGATCAGAAAGCTCAGATTAACAAGAGGCATCTGATAAATCTGATCTTCACTGAGTACCTTCATAATCAGAAAGTGCTGAGGAGCAGGGAAGATGAGGTGTTAAGTTTTAGTTCCTCTGGCTCTTGAGCAAGGCACAAGTGCTGCTGCCATCAAGATTATCAGGCAAGCATTGAAAGGAGATGTCAAAAAGATCCAGGCATCTTCTGAGCTAACAGAAGGTCACTATGATGTCTTGCACTAGTATTATGAAGAGGGAAGGTAATTTTATTTTATTAAGGAGATGACAGGACCAATTGTAAAATGGATATTCCAGATCAGAGAGGACTACTCATATACCCAGACTGAAACCATAGTACAGTTGCTCATGTAAATACTGCAAAAGAACTTTTCAAACAGAAAACAGTCTCTCCCAAGCCTGTAATTTATTTTCTTCAGCTTATGGGAGGCAGCTTTTGAAGTGGTAAAAGACTCCAGGGATCTATGTTGGGATTCAGACATTGAAAATATTCCTAGAAAATGTGGAATCACAACTTTAAGACAATGTATATCTTACTAATAGAAATCAAGAGCAGTAGCTTCAGTCATTGCCTTAAATGTGAAGAGAATACAATTTACACTGGGGATAATGAAGGATCCAGTTATATTTAAGATAAAAATGAAATCTGCAATTAAAATATTTCCTAAGAATAGAAAAGAGCAATTCATGTTCCTTGCTTTGACTCAATTTCTTTCTCCTTTCTTCACCTTGATTTATGTTGTTTCTGTGTGAAGATGTCCAAAATGCCTTGAGATTTAATTATGCAGATGGCTAAAACTTGTTACCTCAGGGTAGCAACCAAATAGTCATGGTACCTGCAGGACAAGCAACTGGTATTCTGAGCAAAATGGTCAAAAGAAGTGGAGAAGGCAATACTACAGAAGCCTAAAGAAACAAAAACTACTGGAGCAAAATAATTCCAGCTCATTTCCTTGCCTGGTAGCTATCAGCTGGCAATCATACTTTTGAAGTGGCCAGTGCTTGTTTACTCTTCCTGTTCAGACTTTTGTTTTAAATGTTTGAAGTAACATCTTCGAGATGGGATTAATTATTGTGTAAAAGATAAAATAATGTTTTGCTTGGTTAGGTGAAAGTTACTCAGGCATTCTCCTGTTTCTCTTCATACAGTTTTGTGAGCCTGCACAGGAAGAAACTGAGAAGGAAACTGAGCCCTGGAGCAAGAAAGAATTCCTGTTACCTGTACTTGTACCTTGTACTACATAGCACAAAACAGTCCAGACAGCAAGAAGATGACCACAGTGATTGATACATGCAATTTGTGAAAGTCCCATTTGGGGAAATACCATAATAAATGGAGGGCTAGAACCTCCCAGCCCTTGCTTATGTGAGTACTGTACATGTACTTCAGAGCCTTTAAAAACTCACCTGTTTCTGTATTTGCAAGCAGATACTAAATTAGCTGATAATATTGTATTTTGAGGGGAGCCAAGCTAAATGGTCTAAGTGTCTGCGAGACCATGGTTTGTAACAAACTGTCGCAACAGTAATCATGTTGTAAGACAATCTTTTAAGAGAATAAGTGTAACATGTAATGGCTTAGAAAGATTTAGCGACATGTGAAGTTTAAGATTAAAAGCCCTACCACCCCAATAGCTGAGTTCTTAGCTCTACCAGAGGAGGCTGGAAGGAATCCCACACAGTTCCCAGACTTTCCTAGGATGACTGCAGATAACATTTTACTTAGACAAAGCTGCCAGTTTTATATAAAAGAGATAACCTCTTTCTGGATGTTCTACTAGCCACCAAGGCAAGCTAAGTTTGACAGTTTCTTTGGCTGTCTTCTTCTGAGTGCTAATCTCACTCTCTTGGTGGGGGTCACCACTGATGTTTCTTGTGACACATTAGCTATTGTGGGTGGAGAACAAAAATTCAGAAAGGAAAACCAGTATCTATTTAAACATTAAAGACAGAGCTGGATTTGTATAAAAGAGTTAGAGCAAAAAGTATACTTCAATTTCACGGTATAAATTTACCATCTCGATACGGCAGTTATTGTCAATAAATGCAGGTTTCAGTACAGCAAAGACACAGAGTTAATCTACTTGGATTGATACAGACTCACTGTGGAGTGAAACTCCATTACCTTTTAGTAATGCTGTGAGGATAGCTAAATCAATGTCCTGGTGTCCTTCTGATCCCATGCGAAATACTGTGATCTGAAATGTTAAAAGACAATACTATTATTGAAACCAGGGTAATTTTTTCAAAAAGAAATTAAATCTGAACAGCATCATTTGATCTCAAAATGTCCTGATGGCTACAAGATACATGGCTACTTTACAGATTTTGTGAGAAGCTTATTAGATAGGATTAACACTGTATTTTTTGTGAGATAAAATTTGATAAAGATAGAAATTGTATTAATGAGCATATGGAAGAAAAGTCTACTTACAGGGTGAAATTAGAGATGCAGTCTTGTTCTTGTATTAGAGTAACATTAGATTTAGTGTTCCCAATACATTACTTGGAGGAATTAGGTGTATTTTAGGTTGTGGACCTAATTTATGGCATATGGCATTGAATAGACATTTTTGACTGAAATTAGCAACCTATTCAAAATAATGATTTTATATAGCATAACATTACATAAATAATCTAAGAATTAGGCTTCTAACAGGTCCAGAAACATCTTTAGTCATGTGTGGTCAGCGACCTACCACTCTAAGATACAAGTTTTGAGGCAGTGAGGTGTGATACACAATTCATAAAGAATGAATATAGTGGGGCTGTTCTTCCAAGCCAGTTTCACTCTTGGTTAAGACTGCACTGAAACATACAGAAGTGTAAATCCCCTCGCTCCTTTTGTTGCCATGGCAATAGCTGCTCTTGGGCCTCTGCTTCTTGTGAAGCAACTGAGACTGCAGCTTTTTATTAGTGCCTTTCCTTTACTAATGAAACCTATGTCATCATTTTGATCTGAGTACCTGTTTTTCTTTTTCCTTTTGCCAGTACAGACTGCCTCATTTTTTCTTTTTAATTGAGTGACACCTTTACTTAAGAATTGTGTAAACATATTTTACACTCATATTCAGCAGCATACGTTGTCCCCACATTCCTAGATACCTACTCATACAGCACCACTGAACTGCAGCAGCACCTGGGGTAGAGATCAGGAAATGTCAGGGCACAAAGAACACAGGGTACTGTAGGGGGAAAGGTGATATATAAAGTGGTCAAGACTAAGACAACACTTTCATGACAACCTTCAGTTTGCCGGCTGAAATAGCCCTGCAGAGGGTTTCCCAAGGAATCCAGGGTAGCCCTCCTGTAGCACCCATTCTACCTTCACTTGACCCTAGAGCTCTGGGCGGTTCAAAGGGAGGTGAGAGACTTTGGCATTGGTGACAGGAGTACAGCATGTTAGAGACTGAAAAGGCAAACTGGATGAAGTAACAGAGAACTGGCTTAGCTCAATTAGTCAATTGATTTAGATGATAACTAAAACAATTACTGTGAGGAAGCATTTATGTTAATCCTCAGTTAAAGCAGACTGTTTTCAAATTAGACTTAGTCTGACATTTCAACATGTTCCTGAGACAAAGCATAGATATTGCAAATGATACTTTAATGATCCATTTTCTCTCTCCCTCTGGAATCTACAGATGTTTCTGGCAAATCACTTGATGTCTTGTGGTGGTGTGCTCCCCTCTCCTCTCCGCCTCCCCCTCCCTCGACCTCTTTCAAGTGATAACCACCTGTGGTGGTGGTGATAGATGTTTCTGGTCATGAAGGAGGTATCCAGTGGATGCAGGGGAGACAGATACCAATACAATAGCCAAGGGCTGTTGTGCAAGGTGCCCACCTAAGCACAGTGAAGAAACTAAAATCTGTGGTCAGTATGCAAATATGGCTGTGAGCCACTCACCTGACCCCCATCAAGAGTGAGCAGCCCAAGAGCCCTTGGAGCTCTCCTGCACGGCAGCGGGCTGCATGCCAGGAGCTCCCCGTGAGCAGGGACGCCTCTCAAGGTTACTCCTTGAGGCTGAGACATTCCTTACCACAACAGATTCTCAGTAAGTGGCTAACAGCATGCTAAACTCTGAAACCTTAGCTAGGTGATATAAAGGATTGATTGCTGCGCATATATATAATCCTTTAGACATAAACTGTTGACCAAATCTGGGACTAGGATTGGATCCAGCCGTACCTAGACACCTCTCTGAGGAAGGAGTTTAGAAAGCCAGGGTATCTTTTCTGAACCTCATGACTCAATGGGAGGGTCTCCCTGACAGTTCTGTCTGACCCTGTCCTCTGTGCAGTAAATAACCAAGTGTACCTTGCCATTGAATCTTATAAACTACTGTCACATTTACCACTGAACTTTGTTAACTCATTGTTTTACACCAATAAACTGTATTTTTGCCTCCTTCCCACTCCATCCACAACGTGTCTATCCCCATACCTCAACTTGGAATGGAATGGAATGGAGTGGAATAGAAGTTCCAGTTGGAGGGTACCTACAACGATTGTCTAGTCCAACTGCCTGACCACTTCAGGGCTGACCAAAAGTTAAAGCACATTATTAAGAGCATTTTCCAAATGCCTCTTAAGCACTGACAAGCATGGGGCATTGACCACCTCTCTAAGAAGCCTGTTCCAGGTTTTGACCACCCTCTCAGTAAAGAAATGCTTCCTGAGGTTTTTCCTACTGTTTTTCTTATCTCCTCAATGACTGGCAAGGAAGCTTTTCCCTGTAAGAGCACAGGTCATGTGGGTAAGGACACACATTTCTATGTATGTCTCATCTCAAAACACAATAAAAATATGAGCTGATGAGGTGAGCCCCTCTACCACACATGCTCATGATGCGCTTCCCATGCCAGAGATGACAAATTGCCACAGAGGTTAGCAGCCAGGCAGGCGGGTCAGAAGGCAGGACAAAGAGAAAGCCTTCCTCCCTTAACCAGTGGGAAAGAAGAACATCTCCCTTCTGATGGGCAGCTCCGGCAGATCATAACAGCCTGATCATAACATCCTCACAACGCTTTGCAATTCCTAAGCAATTTTTCCAGCAACAGGCATCTTCGTAGCACTGAAGGGAAGAGTGACAGCCTGGCAAGCAGATCAGCTAATGCTGGGAGTGTCTCCTTTGCGCCACTGTGCTTGGTGGCACCACCGCATGGCAAAATGCACTTCTTTAAGGCCAAAGATGAAGCAGTCTGCACATCAGGGACTGAAAAAACCGAACAACAGGAGTTCAGCTGAAGAACGAAGTACATCTCAAACTAAACACATGCTTGGTGAACTCCCAGCTTAATTAGAAGGCATCATACAAATTGCAACCACTGAACAGCTTATCCCCATAGGAAAACTAAGGGAAGCACTTTGCATATATTGGAACACATGTAACTAAAAATTTCCAACTTCTCTTTCACCCCTCTTCTCTGCATGCCTCAGAAAAATAAAGCCACTTCAGCAGAACAAATTGCTGTGGTATTAAAAATAAAACAGAACTATGTAATTTGGTTATACTGGAATAAAAAGGTTGTCTTTCCACTGTTACTTTGTTATTATTTTTAAGAGGTCTAGTGTAATTCAAGTAGTAAAATAAAGAAGAATAATAATTGGGGAAAAAAGATGGAAATGGAAAGAGT